CGTATGGAGCTGATGGTGGTATGAGATTTCGAGGTAGGCTATGTGTTCCAGACTTAGCAGACCTCAAGAGAGAGATTTTAGAGGAGGCACATCATTCTAGGTACACAGTGCACCCAGGTGGCACTAAGATGTATCATGATCTTAAGAGGCAGTTCTGGTAGGAAGGCATGAAACGTGATGTAGCAGAGTTTGTATCTAGATGTCTCACTTGTCAGCTAGTGAAAGCTGAGCTCCAGAGACCAGCAGGACTATTACAGCCTTTGCCTGTGCCTGAGTGGAAATGGGAACTTGTGACGATGGATTTTGTTGTGGGGTTACCGAGGTCGATACATAACCATGATACAGTGTGGGTGATAGTGGACCGATTGACTAAATCAACTCATTTTCTACCCATTCGAGCTACTGATACTGTAAAGGAATTGTGTAAGATCTACATTAGAGACATAGTTAAGCTTCTTGGAGTGCCGGTATCTATTGTCTCAGATCGTGATCCTCGTTTTTCATCTCGATTTTGGAGTAGTTTCCAAGCAGCTTTTGGTACTCCTTTGAGTTTGAGTACTGCTTTTCATCCTCAGACCGATGGCCAGTCCGAGAGGGTCATTCAGGTGTTGGAGGATATGCTTCGTGCTTGTGTGTTAGATTTTTGGGGCAGTTGGGAGGATCACATTCCATTGTTTGAGTTCGCTTATAATAATAGCTATCAGGTTAGTATCGGCATGGCACCATATGAGGCACTTTATGGTAGACCTTGTCGTTCACCTGTATGTTGGGCTGAGGTTGGTGATGGTAGTTTTTTGGGGCCAGAGTTGGTGCAAGAGACTACGGAGAAGGTTGCCATCATTCGAGATCGACTTCGCACAGCTCAGAGTTGACAAAAGAGTTATGCAGACCGACGCTGTCGTGCTTTGGAGTTTAGTGTGGGTGACTTAGTGTTCTTGAAAGTATTACCAATGAAGGGGGTTACGAGATTTGGTAGGAAGAAAGGGAAGTTAGCTCCTCGATTCATCGGACCTTTTGAGATCACAGAGAGTATTGGGAAAGTGGCATGTAGATTGGCCTTACCACCCAGACTATCTGCTGTTCATGATGTTTTCCATGTCTCTATGTTGAGGAGGTGCTTGAGGGATGAAACTCAGGCAGTTGACTGCACAGAGGTTCAGTTGCGTCCTGATGCAACCTATGTTGAGACTCCTGTTCACATCGTTGACAGTATGGTGAAACAGTTGAGGCGGACAGAAATACCTCTAGTGAAGGTGCAGTGGAATCATCAGGACGAGAGAGAGGCTACCTGGGAACTAGAGTCAGAAATGAAGGAAAAATACCCACATCTCTTCGAATAAGGTATGCAAATTTCGAGGACGAAATTTCTTTTTAGGTGGGTAGAATGTAAAACCCTTAAATTTTGTATATTATATTTTATTATTAATTATTTAGTATTTAAATGTTATATTAAAGATATTAGAGTTTTTTTTAAATTAAAAGTGTGTTTGGGTGTATTACTTATTAATTTAAATTATTAATTAATAATATCTTTCGTAATTCACCATAATTAATAATTAATGGATGAGTTTGGATTAGTCAGAAGGGTAGTCAGGGGCTGACCCTATGATGACTTTTGGGTATGGTCAGGGACCTATCTATTTGGGAGTGTCCTACCCTTTTATTATGGCCATGGGTCTAATGAGCCCTTATTGTGTGGATGTGATCAAGGATCATCTGGGGAGTAGACGTACAATCTAGCCACACGTGTGTTTTCGATAGTCAGGGACTATACAAATCACACCACTTTATTGGATGGGAACCCGGGGCTCAGATGAGATATGCAAATTTACTTAAAATAAATGATGGTTATTTATTGAGTTTATAATTAACTAGAATATACATTTAATTAATGAATTTATTGAGTTGCTTATATATATGGGAATACAAGGTAAGGTTAACTTGCTGAACGATGATTGTGTTTAGCATTTCTTGTTGAGCTTGTGAACTCACCCCATTATCACATTTCAGGTGCTCGTAGAGTAGGAACGTGATGGTGACACGTGACGGGAACGGATTTTAGCTCGTTGCACATTGATTTATTTCAGCTCGGTTTTCCTTTATTCTGATTATTGTAATAAAGTTAATGTTTTATGAAACTTTATTGAGTTGATTCAGTGGCCATAGATGTTTTGTTTTACTAGAGGGAATTGCACCTCTATTTATGGATTTGTATAAAATTTGTCAGACTCTCATGTTTGTTAAATTGAATGACGGGATTCATCGTAGTTCTATTATGGAGGATGTATGTTGAGAATTGATGGAAATTATACCTTAGATTTTTATGCAGGACAAGTAGTTCTTGTGTTAAAATTTGGGGTGTGACAATAGGAGTGTTATTTGGCTAAATTGTAAATATTAAGGTCTTTTTCTCACTTTACCTTTTCTTTTATGAAAAAAGTTTTTACACTTTATAAGAGATTTTTTTTTATTTTTTTATTTTTTATTGTATATAGAAAACAATTTTTGCTGAAACAAATATTTGGCTTATAACTTACAAGCAACTTTTATGACAATTATGATGAAATTTATTACGAAAGAGATACATTAGTTATATTAATTTATATATGAAAAATCGAAATGTGTAACTAGTGTTAATCAAACTGTTGAAACTTGACTTTCTTAAAAGACTTGACAAACACAGAATTTGGTATTTGAATTATGGTGTGACCATGTCCCACGACGGTGCTTGCTTACACCGTCCAACAAGAACCGTAAGCCCTACATAATCCAGTACAAACTAAGGATCGATAATTGCTTCAGTTCCTTTTGTCGTTTAGCAACATATTTTAGATATGTTTAATTGTAAAGTTGAGGTCAAGACAATTTGGTGCATGATACTGAAGTAAATTATGTATAACTATGCAGGTGTATTTTTAACTCCAAAGTTTAAATTAATTTAATTGCTTATTATTATATATAAGTCTGTGATGAATGAATTATATTACTATTGTACTTAGAGACTGGGAACAGACCCACGATTCGTGGTGCCAAACAGAAAACTACTCTGGAACTTCAAAGAAAATTATACTATTAACAGTTTGTTGGGAGACGAGCAGCATGAATGTAACCATTTTTTAAATATTCACAAGCCAGCTATCTCACTCTGTTTAAGTTGATATATAATATATATTATGCACACGCATAATGGTCTATATACTTTCATATATATATATATATATAGTAGCTACTATAAACATAAATCTCGTAATTCTAGCGAGATAGTCTTAATGATTTGAGCTAAGAGGTAAGGAGTTTGAATCATTTATGTTCATCATTTGAAAATTTTATTCAGTTAATTGTTTAGTGCATGTTGAACCAACAAAAAAAAAAAAAAAAAAAAAATGAAAATAAATTAATTGTAATAATGATGTTGCCATGGGGATACTTAGGTAAATGAAATCGAAATTAAGTTTTGAAAAAAATAAAAATTAAAAAAATTATGGACGGCTGGACTCTTTGGAATTTAGCAAGTTTTATGTCCAAAATTAAATCACTAACCTGTAGGGTGTAGCGTAACAATCACAGAAGATGGTCCAATAAAAGGTCCCAATCATGGTTTGATATGCGCTGGTCCAATGAGACATGGCTGTGAGGTACTCCGGTGGGTCACTGCGGGTGATACAATCATTGCGTACTGCCAAAAACAGGTACTCTTGAATTTCATTTCCGTACCCAATCACTAATTTGCGACCTAAAGCCCATTATTTTAAGACAAGTTCATTCGTCTGAATCGGCGCTGTTATGCCTAAATTCGCGATAACTCCCAACTGGGGTCATGTTGTGGGACCCACAGAAAATACAACATTTGCACTAGGTTATCGTAAAATTCATTGATTATAGCATTAATGGAGCTCTTAAGAGTAATTTCCTAAAACATCCCACATGGCACATTGGTTGTTTTGGCTTGCCCTATTTCAAAGATGGGGTATATTTGGTAGAGAGAAGAGTGTCATGTGTAACTTAACTAGCTACTGCTGCTTGTTTTGGTATTTAAATACTAACTAGGTGCACTTGTTTTACATAACCATGTCTTAGAAACATGGTCTGCAAAAAATCCCAAAAAAGAAACATGGTGTGCAACATGTCTTGTTTTCAAGGGCTACAATACTATTAGTCAAGAGCTTTCGTTTTGAAGCTAGAAAGAAAGAAAGAAAAATAATAATAATAATAATAATAATAATAAATCTTAAGTATAGTTTAACAATGAGTACAAGTGTGGCCTTGTCAATCTCCTAATTCCTAAACAATACTTTGGCTTTCTTTATATATATATATATATATATATATATATTGATTGTTTGCTGATTTTATTCTCAAAATAATAATAAAATTTTATTTTGATGAGTCTTGACTGCACATTTATTATTTATTATTTATTATGATGGGAGATCTGGTTAGAAATGAAAAACAATCTATTCACATTTATAAATAAAATTATATACATTTGACTCTCAACAATAGTATAAGTTTCCGATAGCAAGTTAGCCATTTTAATAAAATATTAATACTTTCATTTTTTTGAACTAATATATATACATATATTTTTTTTAAAGGTGATTTACCTCTCTTCAGGCAAGACTTTATCCTTTCATTTTTACATGGTTGTTCAAACAAACTACTATCATGTTCTTTTTAAATCAATATTATCATTCTATTATTTTTCTCCTACTTATTTTGACTCATAGTTGAGGATTAAGAATACATTATAAAAACATAACAACGTGCTTTAAGGTTTACTAGCTTTAAGGTTACTATTAGAATCCAGGCTATACAAGGCGGCTCAAGTAAAATCCAGTTAGACGGAAGGGCATGAATGAGAAGAGAGTTCAAGGGACCCAACCCAGAATGGAATATCATTTCCGGGGTACTTTAGTCATTTTAATCCAGAACAATATAATATTATATTATATTATAGTTCGTGGCTTTCTTCTTACTATATATAACACACTGTCCTCGCCAGGACGAAGAAGAAAAAGTAAAAGAGAGCGACACAAAAAAGAGTTCAAGACATTAGAAAGAGAAAGGGAGTTTTGACGGAGATGGGTAACAGTCTCAGGTGCTGCTTGGCCTGTGTTCTTCCCTGTGGAGCCCTAGATGTGATCCGTATAGTCCACTTGAACGGCTACGTCGAAGAAATCACCCGTCCGGTCACCGCCGGCGAGATCCTCAAAGAAAACCCTAACCATATATTGAGCAAGCCTTGCTCTCAAGGCGTGGTCCGCCGAATTCTGATTCTCTCGCCGGAATCCGAGCTCAAGAGAGGCAGCATCTACTTCTTGATTCCGGCGTCGTCGTTGCCAGAGAAGAAGAGAGCTCACAAAAACCCCAGGAAGTCCTCCAGCAAGAGTAAGAACCTCAACGCCGACTGTGACCGATATTTGTCGGAAATTACGTCGGAAAAGAAGTCGTCACGACGGCGGGATCGCAGTGGGGGTCGGGTCGGAGTGTGGCGGCCTCATCTAGAAAGCATTTCAGAAGACTAATTATTTTTTCCGGTGCCGGAATCAGACTTCCCGGTGGATGTTGATGGGGAACGTATGGGGTCATTAATTTTGTGGATAAGTTTACAACTTTATTTTTATTTTTGTTTTATTTCCGGCTGCATATAATAATGGCAGATTCGGAATTTCGGTTTTCATGAGATGATGATCTGTTTGCTCCCAAGAAAATTATGAGACGTTTATACCCATAAAATTGTACTACTTGAAACATCCTCATGTTGAAAGTAAAAAATACTATATATATATATATATATATTTTTTGGGGGGATCACATTCCTCTGTTTCTTCCTTTCTTCTATAATTTTCTTGGCATTATGAAAAAATAAACATTTTTTTTACAAGGAAAAATCCAATTTGTTAGTCCGTTTTTCTCAAGGAAGAAATTTGAATTGATGGTTGCTCATTGACTAATTACTATAAAGTTGTTATAAGTGAAACTTGTTCACGTCGGATTTAAATAGAGGTTGAAGGGGGTATAAAGGGATGGATATGCCGTATTACTGCATTTGGATAACTGAGCAACCCTCCACCCGTTACAAAAGTACACTGATTAAAATTTAGATCCTGTTCTAATAATTACCAAATGTTTACGTCATATATTGAAGGTTTATTTATTTTTTATATGTATATTGAAGTTTTTAAAATTTGACTTTCACCTTGATTTCAATAATTGATGGTCCAACTAATAGATTCATTTTTCTATTGAAGGGCAAAATAAATTAGGGTATCACAGCTCATCATCTTAGGGGTCAACTGGTTTTAATGGTTGGTCTGGAAGTAAAATCAATTGGGGTGTGGTTGTATTTATTGCTAATCATGTTGCTATATATATATATATATATATGAAGCAAAAATTTTTTTTAATGAAGTCAACATTCTTAACCAAAAGTTTTTAAATTTTTATTTCTCCATAAGGTCTAATGATTGCCTTAATTTTACAATTATTGTATGAGCAATGCCAGTAATGAACCAAAGTCTAATTTTAATCAGACTCGTACAATTATATATTTTCTTATGGAGAAATTATAGTTTATTGAACACCCTATTTATAAGAATTTTTTTTTTTTTTTTTTCGCAACCCTATTTATAAGATCGTGCTTGCATATATCAGCAAACTCTGAACTCTAATTTATTTTATAATGGGTGACTTTTCGTACAGCAAATGATGACAAAATATGCTCCACGCATGGTGGACTAAGTTTAATATAACTCTTATCAGAATTAATTCGTGAAACCATCTACCTCTTCATAACAGTTTAATCATCTGAGTGTTTTAAGGAAAAGTTGTGTGTGCGTGTGTGAGAGAGAGGAAAAAAATGACCAAAATTGCAATTAATCTAAGGTATTAATAATTGGCTTATCTTAACTTGTAACAAAAATCCAAAGTAGTGAAATAGCGACATCTCCACGCTACAACAAAAGAAACGCAAACATGCAAGCTGGCAAAACCCTTAAACATATTGCATCTAACTCCTCTTCACATGGATTCCCTCTTCTTCCTCTCCCATAAATATTAGACCATAAATAATACTAAAAGAAAAAGACTATATATATATATATATATACATACACATACATATACATATATATAACTAATATCCACCAGAGGCCCTCTTTGTTGATAACTATGTAGTTCAGACATTTCGAGTTTAATTTCTAGTTTAATTTAGGAATGATATTAGCACTTCAAAACTAATTTTTCTGGTTTCGTTGTTATATGGTAAGTACCGAATCAATAATTTGAAATTGAAATCAAAGAAAAATCAATTTAAATTGTAGACTAATTTTTTTCTAATTTTAAATTTAAAAAATAATGTGAATTTAAATTCTACTATCAGTAAGCATGAGTAGATAGATTCATCATTCATGTCTATCTCCATCCCATTTGTGGCATATATATATATATATATATATATATATATATATATATATATTGAGGTTTAAAGTGAAGGGTCATGGCTGTATACAAATTTTATTGGATTTCATTTGAGCTATTACTTTATTCTATATCACATCGATACATTTGTGTGAATTTGTTAGTGTGTATGAGTGTATCACGGACTATCTGGTGAATAGAGAGAGCAATATTCCAATAAAATAGTAAGTTTGAAGATCCCTATGAAGTAATTGGCATTGAGCCTTGTGTAGCAGTGGTTGGGACCAGGGGATCACAGGCTTAGTTCACGGGTTCAGTCACCAATTCCCGGGGAATAACTTGGCTTCACTCTCTCTCTCTAGATTGGAGTGAGAGAGAGAGAGAACAAGATTCAGTCATCCTGAATCTGCATGATTTACAGTGTGGACTGAGTTTCATGCATTTTGTTAAATGAGGTCTTATTTTTCACTATATTTTGAAGCTAACCTTTTGTTTAACAAGGAATGTTACCGACAGTCCTAAGACTTGCAACATTTGTTCCTCTCTCATACAGGTAGGTGCACCTTTACTTACCATGGTATATTTATTAGGAAAAAAAAGTCGACACTTTCTTTTCTCTTGTTTAATAAAATTTGTACCATGAACTCTACATGAGTTAGGGGGTAGAGGGTTTGATTCAATCCACTTCTGTAACGTGCGGTACTATAACCAAATTAGTTCCATCTTTAAAAATATTAGAATTGAACCAAATCATTAGGACAGACAATTGAACATAACTGAACCATTGACGATCGGTTCCGTTCCACTGCATTCAATTTTTTTCTCCCTAGATTCATGACACTAGTGAGATAGCATTACTCATAATAATATTTTTATTCAAAAGTAGAGTAATATAAAACGATAGTGACGTGGGTTTTGCAGAGATCAAATAAGGTGATTGTGGATTGGTATTGATTTGGATTTAACGGTAGGTTGGTCGGTAGGTTTAATCCAAAATATTAGGTGTTGGGACTTCATTGTCATCTTCGTCATCATCAAGACTCTTGTCATAAAATTTGTTCACGCCCTATGTTGTTGATAAGTGTAGACATATAATTTGTGTAATTTATGAATTCCTTTTGTGATCTCACTTTGGTTGGTTCACTGCAGATATCAGCAATTCAACATAATTATCTCCTTCGTTTTCTCCTCCAAACGTGGTCTTTAAAAAGGCCTTCCACCTATCCATTATTGTGTTACACTAGTCATTGTTTCTGTGTATCTATATCCAAACCCATCCCCATGCCATAGTTATCTGCTTTACACTTGCCGCTTTAAGCTTCCTTATTCAGTGATGGTATGGTTGGATTGTATACAAATTTTGGTCTCTACCTCAGACCATGTGTAACATTTTGATACTGCATGATCCATTTTTTTAAACTCTTAACAAAACTTTTTGTCAGGACTGATAAGATAAGACTCTCTCTCTTTTTAGCTGGTTTTATCCAAAATGAATGATAACTTATATCATTTTCCTATAATTAATCATACGAAACATTGTATATATTTGAGTTTGTGAATTGTATTGCATATCACCTAATTGATAGAGTATCTAACTCTTTATATAAAGTATACCTGTATTCGAGTTCTTCCTCTTCTTAATTTGTCAAAAGAAAAATATATATATACTATATTAAGTTTTTGTTTTGTTTTATGGGGATAGTAACTAAAACTAAAATAGATAAATAACCGGTGTTAGACCAAATGATAACCAACATTTTGACGACATTGTCAGAATTTAAATTTGTTTGGAAAGAAAATAGCGAAACACCAGTGCTCTTTATGAAATAATGCAACTTATTTTGATTAAAAATCAAAATTACTCAGTAGTGGTCAGAGCTAAAGAAGAATTCGGTAATTAATCATCAGTGTAAAGTAATTTCCTTAATTAAATCTTGGCTGGTCATCGAAAAGTAAGAATACCACCAATTGGACGGATTGAAAGTGAAATAAGTAAAAATATAGGTTCAAGAAATTGGAATTAATTAATTGGTTTCTTTTCTCTCTTACATAGAGACTAATGTTCAGATTTTTTCTTAGTATCTTATTACTATTAAATGTTCTGACATCATGTACTCGTATTGTAAAAAAAGAAAAAAGAAAAAAGGGGTTAAACTTATATTATAAATGTTAGTTTTTTTTTTTTTTTCTCACTCACACTCCAAATGTTACTTTTCAGTGATGTCGGTGCACTTTTTGCATGTAAAATGACTTTATCATCCTTTTGACTTTAAGTTGACTTGTAAAAAAATTATTTCACCTATAAAATTACTTAACTATGACATAGAACAACAAAATCCCCAAAAATTGAACCCCTATCTCAATTTTTTTTTTTCTTTTTTCCTTGAAAAGTTTAGCAACTGATATATATAGAAAATAGGTAATTTTTTTGGAAAAGTTAAGCAACAAAACCAGGGCCCAAAGCATAAGAGGATGAAACAAAAGCCCATACAACAAAGGCCTGCACAAACCAAAAACAGATAACCATAATTACCGGCTAAACATTCCAATCATGTAGGATACGAGTGGTTGCTACACAATCCTTCAAGAACCCCAATTTCAAAATAGTAGTAATGGTGGAGCAGATTTTGTTCAACACTGCCCTCTGAGTCGATTTTGTGGCTCGAAAGATCCGGTTATTTCTTTCTTCCCAAGTGTGGTAGACAACAAAAGAAAGACATAGCTTCCTGAATAGGTTGCGAGCTGAATGGGTCTTCCAATGAGTGCTGGTCCATGCATGCTACTAGAATATCCCAATTTTAGATTTGAGTGAAGAAGATGCATCTATCCTTTATGTGTCTCCAAATTGGAGTGATGAAGCAACAATTGAAGAACAAGTGGTAATGGGATTCCGTGTGGTTGGAACATAAAGCACATATGTTTTGATGACGGGACATGGTTTTGCTATCCAGAGTGGGAAGTAGTCTTGATTGCACTGCTAGCCATAAGTTGAACTTCATTCTAGGTATAGTAGGGGATATCCATACCAAGTTTTGCCATTCATGGAACTAGAGAATTGTGGTCTTGTAGTTGACATTTTTGTATGCTTGAAGATATAAACACCTGATGGAGAATCAATCCAGACTTTTCTATCATCTCTGGAGATACAAGGAGGTTGTAAAGAGAGCAATTCAGGAATTGCATTGGTGATGAGTAATGGAAAACACCAGGAGTTGTTGACAATGAAATTGTTGACTCTGATATTCTTATTGAGGCCTGCATTGATGAGAATATAAGACGAAAATCTTGAGCAAATGGGGCCTCCAGGAGCCTAATTGTCCCACCAAAAAGCAGTTCCCAAGCCATTGCCAATTCTGTGTTTGATAAGTAACCTTACAAGGTGTCTAAGCTGCAGAATTTTCCTCCAACTCCGTGAAGATGGTTAG